AATGATACTGACGTCACCCCAACATAATGACATGCCCCATGCAAGTGACTGCATGTTCAGTGACCATGAAAAGTACCTGCTGGCAAACAGAGAAGAGCTGTCTGGCCTGAGATGCAGAGGCTGGCTGGGACCTTGTATACACACTCCCAGATGCAAGAACACCTGAGTCTTTGCCAAATTAAGAATCCCAACCCATCGGGGACCTCTGGGCACTCCCAGCGGTGCCCACTGCGGATGTTTGGAAGGGTCAGCCTCTGTTAAAGTGAGGCAGAGACAGGAGAAAGAGAGGAGGGGCCACGTAGAAAGAGGAGGTCAGAATCAGCAGAATGGGAGAGATGGGCAGAGGCCTCCAGAGCTGATGGCAGGATAGGACAAGTGGCCCAGAAGGAGTCTGGGCTGAGCCCCGAGGCATTAAATAGTCTGAAGAAGGTTCAGTAAGATAAGATTTCATCATATTTTCCTTTTTAAAGATGATGGAAAAAGAGAGGAGGGTGCCCTCAAGGGGCTATGCATTTATGATGGAAACAAAGGAGACATACCTTGGGTCTACCTGGATGGAGGAAGTGAGAGGGACAGATTCTGAAGGTTCACAGGTGGCGGCTTTGGGGGAATTGAATAAAGCAAACGATGGTTCCATTCATTGCGATGGGGGATGAAGATTGAAGGCCTCTATTTTCTCCGTGATGTAAAAGGCAAGGTCACCTGTTTAGTGCATGGCAGGGCAAGGTGAGGAGGCCTGATGAAAGTGGCAAAGGTCTGAGAGAGCTGCCAGATATAATGTGAAAAGTAGCTGATGAGGGACAAGGAAAGGGATTGCCAGGCAGCGCTGCAAGTCCAGCTGCGACTGGAACCCATAAATTTGCAACAGCACCGAACAATGCCTAATGGGACTCCCTCCCACCAAGCTCAGCAGCTAGGAGTGGGCAAAGCCAGGGGCTGGGGCTGGGAGGCAGAGCCAGTGTGGTGGAAGCACACTGGCTAAAGGGACAAAAAAAGGAGGGTGATGGCAGGGAAGGGCCTGAAAGGGTGGGATGAGAGAGGGACAGCTGAGGAGGAACAGGAAGTAGATGCAGGCAGACTATGGGGTTATGGAGCCAGTGGCTTCCAGGGCAAGAAGGCTCAGGGTAGGGAGAGAAGAAAAAAGGGCAACTTGTGGTCAGAGAGTGGAAGGCCATCATCGGGAGTCAGAAGTACAGCAGTTCTGAAGACCCTAAGGGCAGGGAGCTACTGCAGGTGTGGGTGCAGAGGGGTTGGGGTGGCCAGGCTGATGGTAGGGAGTGCCTACCAGATGCACCAGGCTGATGGTAGGGAGCGCCTGCTCTTGTCCCCTGGTACAGCTCTTTAGCCAACACAGACAGGGTGTCAGGCACCAAGTCAGGTTCAGCGATCAAAACCACACTCCTGCCTCCACCCTTCCAGAACAGAATATATGGCAATGAAATATGACAAAGGTCAAGAAAATGTCAAATCCCCTGACCCAGCATAATCTTATTTCCAAAAATGTGTCCAAAGGAAAATGAAAAGTCAATAGAAGAACAAACTGTATTCTTTACAATGCTCACTGCATCTACAGTACAAAAAAGCTGCAAGAAATCTAAGCATTCAACAAAATTAAAAATATTAAGATTATGAAGAAACATAGTAGAATGTCTGCAACACACAGATGAGCCTTCTGAAGGTAAAAACATCTGTCCTCCTCATCTCTTTATCCGCAGGCAGAAAGCCCTGTGCTTGGCTCATAACGAGCACTCAGAAACTGTCAGAATAAATGAACGAATGGAAGAAAATGTATCACATTATGATTAGACCTATGTGGGAAAAAGTGTAAGCACCTAGAGAAGAAAATGCAAAAATAATCAAAATACCGGTGTTGGAAGAGTGGAAATAGGATGACTTTTTTCCTTTTTTGAAAACTCCATTTAATCCTGTCACACCGTTTAACAGTTAAAAATGAGTGTTAGCTCTTTTAAAAATGCTTGGATCAAGGAAAAAATATGGAATTTCTTGAAAATAACAATAATGAAAACATGGTACATCATTAAAAATTAAACACATTGACCCTTGATGGAAAGCCATCCCTAAAATACACTGGCACAAGTAGAAATGATGCAAGGCTATTCATTTCAGCAATTTTAAGGTGGCCAAAGACTAGAAATAACCCAGATATCCATCCATAAGCGGTACTTTGTCCCCCAGTGCAGTACTCTGTTGCGGGAAAAGAAGTGTAGGGGACCTGCACAGACTGCTCCAGCTGGTCTCCAGAACACACCACGCAGAGGACAAAGTAAGCTACAGAGCAGCAGGAAGGGCAGGCACCTTGCCTCTGAGAAAGGGACATGGGGGTGCAGAATACAAGGACATAACCTGAGAGTTGTTACTGGTGTGTGTGTTTTCTTTAAGATAAGAAACAAACTAAAACCTAAAAGAAATAGTTCCTGTGGGGAAGGAGAGAACAAGTAGGAGGGAAAGGGATGGAAGTCAGACTTCCCTGAATGTAAAAGCTGAAGCAATTTCTAAAAATAAAAAACAACTGAAAACAAAAGAGCATAACTGTGTATGATCATTAATAAATAATGAATAAATGTGAATAAAGTGACTTTAAAACACAGTAGCATGAGTATGACTGTGCATCTCTAGTGGGATGTGGCCTAAAAACAAAAGGAATTGCGAAGAAATCTTAGACTATATTCAGTAATCCTGTCATATTGTCAGTAATAATATTAGAATTTTTATTTTGGATACACACACGCACATTAATGTCCTTAAGAAGCAAGATTTATGTTGTGTAGGAGGAAAAAAAGATACAAATATAAAATCAAAGAAGTTAAGTAAAGGCCCTATAATCCTAAATTTGAGTTGGAAATATCAATATAAATTCATAGGAAATTTTTATTTTAAAAAAATGTTTTTGGCAGAGGCTGGAGAGGGTAGGGGAGAGGGAGACAGGGAGAGATCGGCCAATGGATACAAAGTTACAGTTAGATAGGAGGAATAAGTTCTGGAGTTCTATCACACAGTAGGGTGACCACAGTTAACAATATTGTAACGTATATTTCACAATAGCTAGAAGAGAAGATTTTGAATGTTCTTACCACAAAGAAATGATAAATGTATGAGGTGATGGATATGCTAAATACCCTAATTTGATCATTACACAATGTATACGTGTACCAAAACATCACTCTGTACCCCACAAATAAGTACAATTATTATTTGTTGATTAAAAACAAATTTTAAAAATTGCTTTGTCACTAAAAGCAATGATCAGTCAACCTCACAGCAATGAGTACTCCTAGTACCCACATTCTGGTTTCTCGTTATATCTTCTTCATAAAGGAACCAAGGAACCTTTGGGGTCCTTAGAGAAACAGTTGATACCAAGAAGAAGTGCACTTCAAGGTCTACTGGGTCATGTCAAAAAGATTCTGGAGCCAACCTGAAGGGCGCCCACTGGTCAAAGCTGGGACAATTTGATCATCAAAAAGAATAATGACTATAATAGACTGAAACATATCTAACATTTTAAAATTCAAGAGTTCATATTAATACTCAAACAAATTTTTAAAATCTAATTGGTAACCTTTGTAGGTTATTAGGATATCAACTAATTATTCTGGAAACTGGTAAAGAAAGGGAAAAAATAAAGCATTTATCCTGTCTTTCCTATATAAACAGGTTTTCAGGATTACCAAATAGTTGATAAGAATGGTGGTGGAATTAGAGTGTCAGAATGTTACGACCTCTAATGAAATACTGGATCCAGGCGATGGTCACCAGCAGCTGCTCACAGGCTGATGGGGACCTTTGCATGAAAGGGCAAGGCTGACTACACCTGCATCCAGGAACTAAATTAGCAAGTACAGAAAGATAACCATCCAGAGCGTTTGTGCTTTTTGATTTGATGCAGCAGAAAAACACAGCAACATCTACAAAGGATTCTGATTAAAACAGAAAGTCTGAGTCTGGTTGAGTCTCTAGACTTAACTACCAGTTTATAGGAAATACCTGGAACAGAGAAACATCTTAACACTATAGAGATGCAATCAATAAGCCAGATCCAAATTGTGAGAAATTCTATAGGAGTAACGACCTGGTTTCCTCAACAAATAAATAGCAAGAGGAAAAAAAGGTGAGAGACAACTGCTATAAATTTAGAGAGACTTGGGCCGGCCCAATGGCACACTGCTACAGTGCGGCGCTCCCGCCGAGGGTTCGGATCCCACATATAGACCGGTTCCTGCTCACTGGCTGAGTGAGGTGCGGGCGCAACACTGAGGGTTGCGATCCCTTTGCCGGTCCCGGTCCGGTACGGGCATGACACTGAGGGTTGCGATCCATTGCCGGACACGAAAAAAGACAAAAAGGAGAAAAAAAAAAAAAAAAAAATTTAGAGAGACTTAAGAGATGTATCAACCAAATTCAATGTCTGGACCTTTTTTGTATTCTGATTTGAACAGAATCTGCAAAACATATTTATGAGAAAACTGAGAAATTTTGACCAATAACTAGATATTAGATGATATTAAGTAACTATTGATAATTTTTATACTTGAAATGATGGTATTGTTATGTTTTCTTTAAAAGAGTCTTCATTTCTTATGAGCAATACAAAGTATTTACGGTTGAAATGATATAGAGTCTGGGAATTGCTTTTATCAGGGTTGGATTTTATCTACATAAGGTAAATGAAAAAAAATTGGTCAAATGCTAATGATGGTTAAAGCTGGGTAAAGAGGTACATGGGCATTAATTTTAATATTCTCTCTACTGCTATGTGTGTTTGAAAATTTCCATAATAAAAAGTTAAAGAAAAAAAGAAACATGATAATAAGAATGAGTGCTATCTTCCTACATGATTAGAGGAACTGGACACAGACAGACCTTTTGTTCTTGAATCGCTTAACTCCAAGAAGCTGTTTTCTAAATTAAGAATACCAGCTAAAATATTTAAGACTAAAGAGAATTTGCTAAAGAGACCTTAAGGTTACAATTTTTCAAACCTGATTGTTTCGATCTGTGAGGTACCTCACTACAATAGGTATGAGATATTCAGAGAACACCACTGGAAAATCTGATCTGTTTTCTTGCCAAAAAATGGCAATAGGAGGAATCTGTTCCATCAGCTCAGTCCGCACTGTGGGCTCTGCAGCAATAAAAAATAAAAAAAGAATTATATTAAAAATAAGCCAAGCATCTTATATAGTATATACTGATAGTTTCTAGCTTTTCTTACTAAAATACTTCATCAAGGAAATTAGACAAATGCAGTTTAAAAATCATTTCCCATTTAGAGTATTTATGCTGCAGACAGGCTTAAAAAGCTAATAAGCTATACAGCAATATAAAAACATAAAAAGAAGAGAGAATGACAACTCTATTATAACAAGCCATATATAAATCGAGGGGGAGCGAGAAGTCTGCATGCTGGGCCAGCGTCCAAAAGCCATTACAACTAATGGCTTATATGCCAGACCTATGGGTTGTGCTTATTTAAATTCCAGCCAGAACGTATACAATATAAATAATTCTTTCATAAATGCATCCCCCACAATCCACAAATCCCAATTATTTCTAAGGCAAAGCATTAAACAAAAGAGTAGCTCTAGCTCCAATATACCACATTAAATTTAACACAAACATATAATTGCTGCAGAACTGTAAATGGTGACTCATTTACAAAGAGAATCCATTTAAAGACGCAAAACATCCACATGGGCCTTTTTAAAAGCATTGTGTCATATTCCTATGAATATTTTAAACTAATATGGGAGCTATATGGAAGGCTTATTTTTCTATTTTCAGTTAAAATGATAAAATTCTAAGGCCTAAGATTTCCAAAATTTTCTGAAGCTGCTCACCATTCATTATGAATGTGGGGAACAGGGGGGTCACACAGCCACTGTCAGCACTGGCAACCCACCATTCATTTGTCTTACTCATCTTTACTGTGTTTGGGGGGTTAGGGGGCAGACAGTGTCATAGTGTCTGCCATACAACAATGTGCTTTTCTTCCACATTAGCAATTATAAGAGGTAGAAAGAGAAAGAAAAATCAAGATTAGCTCACAAAGATCAAAGGTGTGGGAAACTAATGACTGGGACTGTTCTAATCTAAAGAACTTCTTTTGATTTGGCATTTCTTATCAACCAAAAGTCTGGGAAAACTCAACAAGTACAAAAGGCCTAACTGCCAGGAAAAATAGCATTCATAGCCATTAGTCATTCTAATTTTCTAAAATAAGAATAATTTGAGTCATATCCAAATAAGACACCCATTTTTCATGACAAAATCCATTCACGGTTAGACACTGCTTAAAGGTTATTGATAAATGGGCTTTTTCAAATCAGCTACCATTAGTTATATATAATTTCTTAGAAATGCACAAAAAATAAAATTATACCATAATTACACAAACCTGCATCTTCAGACAATCTGACTACCATCTCCATTACTGTTAAGAAGTCTTCTTCTTTGTTACTGAAGTCCCGGAAGACATCAAGTAGTCCTCTGGCAATAATCTGACTATGGAGACAAGAAATGACCTATATGGTTATTGGGCGGCACTCACTGAAGGACTGCTAAGGTTCAGGCACTGTGCTGAGAGTAGATAACCACCATGGAGCAAAAGGAGGACAGACACTAGCAAGGAACATCCAAAGACAGCCATTCCACTGTGGATTAAAATAGGAATGCGTATCTTCCGGTCTGGCAGTCACCAGCATCTGAAACTGTCCACCTCGAACAAGGGAAAACATTTTTCTTCTTTTCTGATGACTCTTCAGGCCTAGACAGACATGGAAGAAAAGCCCCATGACAGTGGGAGGGAATTAATTGACCAATAAATGCAAAAAGAAAAGGCCCAAATAGGCAGCCAGTCCCCCTCTCAATGACTGAATGAGGGTCTACAGATCATAAGGGCCTTGAGGGAATTTTTTAAAATTCAGACATTTCCCCACATTTACTATTTTTACTTTCCCATCTTCCTGTGCTGATTAGTCATAAAAGCCATAAAGTAAGAAGGACCTATAGTACTTGTTTTGAGGGGAGCATGGGGAGGACGAGCTGGGGAAACCCCATCCCACTATAGTCAGCCTTGGTAGAGACAACCAAAGGCCGTGGGATAGAATTGGTGGTGGCAGCTACCCAAAGGAAAGAAAAGCCACCCTAGTTCACGGAGCCTGCAGCAACATACAGGAGAAGAGTAAGTCAGCCTGTGGCTGAGGAGCAGGGCTGGACTTAGCAAAGGAAAGGAGAAGGTGGGTCCCGCAAGATGGCAAGCAACAAATGAGTTGTGTGTACTTAGGCATTCCAAACAGAGGAAGCTCTGGCCATTAGGGGAGAAAACGTGATTGTCACTGCAGGACCAACTGACCACATCCCATCAAAAGCATGATCCAAGCTATTGAAGACCTACTATAAAGAAACTTCAAGATCTCTGCTATGGCTAACCCCGAGAGTATGTCAAACGGCTCCTCTGATCAGTAGAGGAGGTACCCTGAAAGTGTGGGGCTTTCTGAAAGAATGGACTCAAAAGTTCAGAAGCCAATGTGAACTACGGCTGGCCTTGGAGCACCAAAGGAAGGAAATCGAAAGGGAATGAAGACTCTTTTAGATATTCAAAAATGGATAGAATCCATCACCAGCAGATCTGAACAACAAGAAACGATAAAAAGGAAATCCTTAAGGCACAAAAAAAATGACATTAGATGGAACTCTGTATCTACATAAAGGAATAAAGAGCACTGCAAATGATAACTATATGGGTATATATATATAAAGCTTTATCTTATTTAAATCTCTTTAAGAAATAACTGAATGTCTAAGTAAAAAAAAACATATATATAAGTAAAACGCATGACGCAAATAGCATAAAGACCAGGAGAGGACAGATGAGGGCAAGCTAACATAAGGTTCCCTTACTACACATGAAAAGGTAAAATACCACTGCAAGGTATAAGTTAAATATATATACTGACAGGATGGATAAAAAAGCAAGACCCAAGTACATACTGCTTACAAGAAACACACTTTAAATATAAAGATGCAAATAAGTTAAAAGTAAAAGGATGGAAAAAGATATATTATGCTAACAATAATCAAAAGAAAGCTGGAGTAGCTTCACTGATATCAGACAAAATAGATGTTAGAGCAAAGAATATCACCAGGGATAAAGAACTTCATTTCATGATGATAAAGGGGTAAACTCATGAAGAAAACATAATAATCCTAAATGTTTATGTACCTAATGATAGAACCTCAAAATACATGCAACAAAAAACAACAGAACTGCAAGAAGAAATAGATAAAAGTCAACGTAAAAGTCCAGAAACAGAACTATACATCTATTGTCAAGTGATTTTTTACAAAGGTGAACAGGGAAAGAACAGTTTGGTTTTTTTAAAAGTGGTGCTATAATAAATAGATATTCATTTGGGGAAAAAAACAAACTTTGACTCTTACCTCACACTATACACAAAAATTAATTCAGAACGGATCATAAATCTAATGTAAGAGCTAAAACATAAAACTTCCTGAAAAGGTAAAAAAAAAAAAAAAAACAGAAAAATCTTTGTGGCCTAAGGTTAGGTGAAGTTCTCTAGGACCCTAAATACACAAACCATATAAGTAAAGAATAGATAAACTGAACTTCAAAATTAAAAACTTTTGCTCCCCAATCATACCATCAAGAAAATGAAAAAGACAAGTCACAGACTGGAGAAGACTAAGGAAACATGACAACTAAATACAAAGTAGTACCCTGAATGGGATCCTGGAGCAAAAAAAAGAAAATCAACGTGAAATCCAAGTAAAAGTTATAGTTAATAATATTGTTCCAATGCCAATGTTAACGTCTTAGTTTTGATAAATGTATCATGTTTATGTAAGACATAAACATTAGAGCATGGTTTCTGTACCTTGGCATTAAAGGCATTTAAGAGCAGGTAATTCTTTGCTGTGGGGACTGTCCTGTGCATTGTAGGGTATTTAGTAGTATCCTGGGCCCCTACCCACTAGATGTCAGTAGCATTCCCCACTCCCCAAGATGTAACAACCAAAAATGTCTCTAGATGTCATCTTAAGTCCCTTGGAGGCAAAATCACCTCTGGTTGAGAGCCACTGCACTAAAAGAAGTTGGGTAAAAGGTATAAGAGAACTCTCTGTACTATCTGTACAATTCTTCTGTAAATTGAAAATTATTTCAAAATAAAAAGCTTAGGGCCGAGCCCGTGGCGCACTCGGGAGAGTGCAGCGCTGGGAGCGCAGCAGCGCTCCCACCGCGTGTTCAGATCCTATATAGGGATGGCTGGTCCGCTCACTGGCTGAGCACAGTGCGGCTGGTCTCAAAAAGGACAAAAAAATAAAAAATTAAAAAAATTAAAAAAAAATAAAAATAAAAAGCTTAAAGACAAAGTGCAGCGCTGGGAGCGCAGCAGCGCTCCCACCGCGGGTTCAGATCCTATATAGGGATGGCTGGTCCGCTCACTGGCTGAGCACGGTGCGGCTGGTCTCAAAAAGGACAAAAAAATAAAAAATTTAAAAAATTTAAAAAAAATAAAAATAAAAAGCTTAAAGACAAAACAAAATAAAAAGACCCCAAGAAAAGCTACAATGATACTTTACTTAACACTACAACCACTAGAAAAACTAAAACTATAATGACAATACCAAGTGTTGGCAGAGATATGGAACAACAGGAACCCAGAGACATTTTTGGTGGTAATGTAAATAGCACAGGTAATTTGGAAAAGTTTGGCAGTTTCTCAAAAAGTTAAGTATACACTTATCATTCAACCTGGCAATTTCACTTTTAGGTATTTACCCAAATGAAAGGAAAACATGTGTCCACACAAAGAGTTATATACAAATGTTTATATGCATTATTCATAATGCTCACAAAATGGAAAAATCCCAGTGTTCATTACCTGGTGAATGCATACGCAAAATGCAGAGTATCCACAGAATGGACTACTACTCAGCAATAAAAAGTAATGAACTATTTATAACAACAGGAATGAATTTCTTATGCATTTTGCTAAGGAAAAAAGCCAGGCATGTAAGACTACATACCATATGATTCCATTTATATGAAATTCTAGGAAAGGCAAAACCTTTTGAAAACATCGGAAACCAGGTCAGTGGTTGCCCTGGCTCCTTCTGGCAGAGAGGGAGGCGCTGACTGCGAAGGAACCAGCAAGGGAACTTCTTGTGATAGAAATGTTCCAAGGCAATCATGGTGACAGTCACATGACTGTGTACATTTACCCAAACTCATCCAACTGGACACCTAAAGTGGGTGAATTTTATTGCATGTAAAATATGACTCAATGAAGCTGTTTTAAACAAAGATGCCAATGAGGGGAAAAGTCAAGGCGATCAGCAATGGCTGGTGGTGGCCTGGAGGCTTCAGTGTGCAAGAGGAGGAACCAGAGCTCCTGAAACCTTCCTTTGAGCAAGTGGAAAGGGGCCCCTGCCTGCTTCCGTCTGCTCCCCTGAGCAACTGGCAATCCAGGAACAATGCACATTATTTCTGGCCATGTATGCATCAAGAGAATTAACTGACATCAAAAACTCACCTTGATTTGCAAGAAAAAATGACTAGAAATGAGGAATTCAAAGGGGCAATCCTTTGGCCAAGCATACTACAGGAAGAAATCCATCAACTCAAGCTGTCCATGGAGAGACTTACACCACCCCGGAGAGGAAAGGTCAAGATCTGGCAGCCAGGAGGTTTGGGAAAGTCAAAACAGATGCCATAGAGAAAGCCAATGATTACATTTCGCTGGACCACATTCATGTTGGCCTCCCCTAGGAAATCAAGCAACTAAGATCCCCAATCTGCTTCCAGGGCCATAGAACAGAGACAAATCTGCATCCAGCCTCAAGTGGTAACGAGGGACCTCCCCTCTTAAGGAAAAAGAGGAAAGGGATAAGAGAGGGCCACTGAGGCAGGGACAAATCCACCACAGTGAATACAGAATGGGAGAGAGCTAAAGACTCAAATTGGTACTTGGGAACCAACACTTTGGAAAACCTGGCTGCTTTATAATGGAATGACCTGAAGAGACCATAGTGGATGAGCAGAGTCCAAAAGCATGAGCCTCAATACTTCTCACTGTCAGCTATGTTAATGAGATGAAAGAGGAGAGAGACCCTCTAAAGAGATTAACCCTGCCTGCTCAAGGAGAGTGTTGGAGGATTCAGCGATTCAGTGAGATCATGTGTAGGATGCTCACAGCACGGTACTGGGCACATGGTAAGCCCTCTAGAGTGTCAGCCGTCAGTTTTCCAATATAAGAACTGCTAACAGCCTAATGTCTATCAATAGAGGGAAGCATAAATAAATAATGATATACCTATACCTTGGCATACTATGCAACCATTTTTAAAGGTACCTCTAGATATGCACTAAATTAGAAAGATGTCCATGATACATTAAAGAAAAAACAAGGTGAGGAATTTTACATACAGTATGAGATGAACCCATTCCTTAGCACAAATTATATTCACAAACACATGTGCAA